CCAGCCAAGATCAGCCAGGCACTGGCAAGATCAGACAAACACAGCTGACGTGGAAACCAGATCGATAATATAATACATGTTACTTTCCGTAAGCTCCTGAGTTTTGGGGTGGTGGTTTGCAGTATTACTTTAATAATAGATTATTTATACAATTCCCTTCATCTTTAAAAAAAAAATCACAATGCTTGCAGCCCTGAAAAAACGTGTTGCTTTGTTTTGCCTTTCCTTCTCTCTCTCTTTTTTTGTTTTTAGTTTTAAAAAATTGTATCACAAGATAGATTTTCTTTTGTGACTTGTTTTATTCACTTACCATTATGTTTCTTTCATCTACCGTTATGTTTCTTTCATCTATGTAGTTGCATGTAGTTATAGTAACTGGCCTTTATTATATAATCTTTTTGTGAATATAAATTATTTTCTCCAGTCTTCTGTTAATGGACATTTGGCTTTCCTACTGATAGGCATTTGCACTGTTTTCAGTTTGGGGTTATTATAATCAATAAACTCACTTACAGATATCTTCTAATGCACATTTGCAAGGTTCATTGAAATAAATATACCTAGGAGTAGAATAGTAGGACTACAGAGTATGATAATATTTTAATTTTGAAGCTGGTACCAAATTATTTTCCAAATTGGTAGTAACAATTTGAATATACATCAGTATATATATTATAAGGCCCCCATATGTATCTGCATCAAACCACCAGAAGCAGAGGCAGCACATAGGAGCCCTTGTGGGACGGTTCAGTGGTTGAGTCTGGAAGACACATATCACCTCTGTTCACATGTCACTGGCTCAAACTCAACTATATGGCCACCTCACGGCAAGTTCAACAGGGAAACATAGTCCAAGAAGAGGAAATGAACAGGCTACCTCATCAGTCTCTGACATAGCTTCTAATCCTTCAATATGAAAATATGAGTGTCTATTTGATAAGCACACCACAGTCTATAAAGCACATCCATGGAAAGTTTCCTATTTCACACTCTCACCAACTCTCTTGGGAAATTAGGTCAATTACCATTACGCTCATTTTATAAATGAGGAAACTAGGGCTCAGAGTGGTTAAATGACTTGCCCAAGGTCACAAAGTTAGTAATTTGCTAGAGCCAGAGTATACTCTCAACACTTTTTCCCCAAAGTCTTGTCCTATTTCTAGTATAATTAACCTTTCTTTTTCCAAATACTCATTCATCCACCAACTGAAATTAATTTTTGTATGAGTACTACATGACTATAGCACTATACTTCCTTCCCAAAACACAAAAATCAACAGAGCAAGGATCCTGCCCTTCGAGTCCCACAATTTTGAGTTTTCTATTTGCTATCTCCCACTCTCTACCTGCCACTTCCATTGCTCACTTCATGTTTACAGCTCAATCTACTCATGCTAAGTTCAATAACTTCCAGTTCAATGGATACAGTGGATATAGTTCAGTCCTCATCTGATTTCAGCACTGTCAAGTCATTCCAGATTGTGACCCTTCTCTCTTTGTAATGCTTTTTTCTCCTAATTCTCATCATCACACACACTCCTGATTTCCCTCTCACCTCTCTGGTTAATTCCGTTAAATCATCTTGACTGTCTTATTCTCTTCTAATCAGTCTTTTTATATTGAGAACACCCTAATTCTGCCCGACAAAATTAGATCTTTCTATAAAGACAACTGAAACGTCATCTTGATAAATAAAATAAAATAAAAATATTTGCTATGCTTTACAAAGCCTTACTCATGTCTTTCATAACACTGACCACATCTACCTTCTGTAAGTTATCTGGCTCTCACAAGTCTTACCAACTTAACTAAATGCCTTTAAGGCTCAAACCTGGCACGCCTTCTCTTCTCACTCTATCTTCTCATTTTGGGCTATGGAGTAAGACAATGTTTTAATTTTTAAGCTAGTGCCGATTATTTTCCAAATTGATAGTAATAATTTGTACATCCATCAATATATATCTTCCAAGGCCCCCATATAGACCTGCATCAAACCATCAGAAGCAGAAGGAATACATATGAGACCCTGTGGGACAGTTCAATGGCCTTTAAATATGCTATTTCCCTGAGAGACCCTCTTGCTGCTTTTTACCTGGTTAATTCCTATTCACCTTTCAGATCTCAGTAAAAATCACTTCCCAAGGAAGCCTTCCCTGATTCTGACAAGAGTTCAGGTCCCCATCTCATGTGCATGGATGACACCCCACATTTCTCCCTCTCAACATTTGTCACAATTGTTGTGCAACATTTAACTGTAAAAAATTTGTTTCACTTCTCTTCATTCTACTGAAATTTCAGTTTCAAGATTATAATGTCCATGTGCATGCATACTCTGTACTGCTATATGTTCTTTGCATGCAGAAGGACCTAATTGGGTATTTATTCAGTGAGACTGTTTTATTAATGAAGAGAAAAAAATCTCAGTGAAATTTTGGATGCTATGTCATGCATGGATTTACAGTTGACTAAAACCATTGGGTTTCTTTGTAACCTAAACTCTCTTGCCTAATTATGTGGACCTAGTACAGAACTATAAATGTATTTATTGCTTTTAAACATCATCTTATTAAATTGAGCCCACTCATTGGACTTAAATTATCTCCCACTTTTATATCATCTTATAAGGTGATAATCAAGTCATTGACAGAAGGGCTGATTGGGCCAAAACTAGAGACAGGGCTCTGAAACCTGCCACTTGAAACTACTTTTAATTGTAGGATTACAATCCTTTACCATGGAAGTTTAACTTTTTAGTTATATTGTGCTGATCATGGCTGCTATTTTAAGAAGTGTAAAAACCAAATACCCTTACAATGCATATCAAAACCTAATTTATCTTGTAAGGTCCAAAAATTGTCACTTACTTAATGAAGTTTCACCTAATTTCTTTAGACAGAAATACTATCTGCCTTCTTCTCTATGCTTCCCAATTTTGTTCTTTCCATTTTTGTTATGAAATGGTAAGTACTGATTGTATTCTATCTTACATTATAGTTTATTGTTTGGGATCTCGCTTTAGATTCCCATTACTTGAATTCAATTATTTCAGGGCAACAAGGGCTCCACTTTTTGCTTTGAAGTTACTATTTTTTTAGTATCTTCACCATGCCAGGAGCTGTGCCAGGCATTTTACATCCACCATCTCATTTAATTCTTATTGGAGGTATATACCATAATCATTAGCATTTCAGCAAAATAATTGTATTACTTTACAAGAGGTGAAGAAACTGAATCTCAAAGAAGTTGTTTGTATTTATACATCTCACCTGGCTTTGGTCCTTGCTCATAGCATATATTAAAAGAGTGACTGTCAAATTGAAACACAGAATTGATGCTGATGGCCATTTATATGGAATTTTACTCTCCCAAGGATCATGCACCCAAAATGATGTTAATATCTTGGATTAGATGACTAGACTAAATCTGAACGGCTATTCCAGAAATGAAAGCTCCCTAATGCACTATTAATTTTCTCTGTCAAAGAGAGTATGCATTCTATATTGCTACAGGCAAATAGGGACATAACAGATGTGTTATTTGGAAAAACACTGTTGCAGGAAACAAAAGTATGCAAATTACGCCTCTTCTGCGCACTTCAAGACACATTTTTAAAGATGTAAACTTTCTCAAGGTCATGTGCTGACATTCTGAAATAATTTCTTTCCCTAGAGTAGGGTGACCACAACTCAGGCTTTTAAATAGAAGACCAAAGAAGCTAAAATAATGTTTCAGAGCAGTAGTTGCGATTCCTACCCGACTGTTTTTTTCTAAAACTGATCTAGACAAATACACTTTGAAAAAGAGCAGATAATGAGAAGTATAAGTGACTCAAATGGGGAAACCGCACAACAAATAACATTTCTGCCTGAGAAAGCTACCAGATACTCTGCTGGGGACCACGTTTTAAATAGAGACCTACACAAGGAAAGCATTTCTAATCCAGTTTCCTTTCAGAGGTGAGGAAGTTTAGGCCTAGAGAAGTGGAAATAACTGTCCGAAGTCAAAGAGCAGTTAAATTAGAATGCAGCCTAGAACTCAGCCTCTGGCCTCACAGTTGCTCCAGCTGCTCCATCTCTGAGTCCCTGTCTCCTGTCTACTTCTTACAAGCTGATACCCACAATTCATGACTTACATACATGACTCCCTAGACATGGCAACCAAGATTTCTGGTGGCAACGTATGCCCTGCTGGCCTGTGCTATTTATCGCTTGCATGACAATCTCATTTCACTTGTCAAGATAAAGCCTCCTTCAGGTAGTGGTCCCATTTTACCACCTGTGCTTCCTATATCAGGCTGAGCCAATAACTCTTCCCTCCAAGAAGCCTTGACTAGAAAGAATCTTTTAACAGATGCATCAAAACATAAGGAACTTTGGAATCAGATATCCTGACTGTCAATCCTACTTCTGTTTGTGCTGTCTTCATAACTATCACAATTTCTTATGATTCCTGAGCCTCACTTTCTCCATCTTTAAAACAGGAGACATAATGACTACTGGGCATTGTTCTGATGGAGATTGAATGAGATAATGTATCAGTAGTGTTTATCCCATGGAAGATGATCAGCAATTCACAGAGGGTTGCCATTGCTGTCCTTAGGTTTAGGCTAGAAGTTTCCACTAGATTTTCTGAGTTGTCATTGTTCTGTGGATACTATTAGCAGAACACGTGCTTCCCAGAAGACTGGGAAACAATCTGTTGGGAATACACTGGGACCAATATATTCCTGGCAAATTATCTTTGCACAAGCAAAATGATAGAAATAGAAGACTTTGAGGAAAATGGAAAAGCATTCTATACATTGTCCCCACACAGGGATTCTGTCTTTATTGTTTCCTTTATTCCAGTAGGCTAGGTCAAGTTCATATTCAGTGATGACCTTGAGATAACGCTCAAGTGCCTCCACCCCCGTTTTGGAGTCCTCCAGAGAAACAGGACCAATAGAGTGTACAGAAAGGGACAGAGCAGGGAGAGAGATTTATTTTCAGAAACTGGCTCACGTGATTATAGGGTCTGGCGAGTCTGAAATTTGTAGAACAGGCCATCTGACTGCAAATTCAGTAAAAAGTTGATGTTGTAGTCTTTAGTCAAAATCTGAAAGCTAGAAATACAGGCAGGTTTATATGTCATACTCTTGAGGCCAAGTTGCATTTATCTTAGGAAACCTTAGTCTTTGCTCTTAAGGCCTTCAATTAACTGAATGAGATCCACCCACATCACTTAAAGTCTTCTGATTTATTTATTAATTATTTTTCTTTTATTTTGAGATAGGGTCTCACTTTGTGACCCAGACTAGAGAGCAGTAGCGCAATCATGGCTCACTGCAGCCTTGACCTCCTGGGCTCAGGTGATTTTCCCACCTCGGCCTCCTGGGGAGTTGGGACTACACATGTGCACCACAACAGGTGAATATTACGTTTTTGTTTTTTGTTTTTTTTCCAGAGATTGGGTTTTGCCATGTTGCCCAGGCTGGTATTAAACTCCTGGGCTCATGTAAATTCACCTTCCTTGGCCTCGCAAAGTGCTGAAATAACAGACATGAGCCACCATGCCCAGCCTAAAGTCTACTGATTTAAAAGTTAAGCAAATCTTAAGAAAAATACTTTCACCACAGCATCTAGACTGGTGTTTGACAACTACACACCATTGAGTAGCCCAGTGGATGCATAAGTTAACCATCACAATTCCCAACTTACAGTGTCTAGTAAATGCAAGCAGGTGGAGTAAAGTGAGTGTCTAAAGCATGTCCAAGAATGTAGAAAGGAACTTTAAAGCTAAGTGGAATACATTACCATCCACACATCATTCAATTTGGAATGGGATATCCATGCTTCCTGCACCACCTTCACTAGTATGGAAGGGATAGAGAAAGTGACAAACTTTTTCCCACTTAATCATGTCAGTGTGGACACTGACTTGTCAAGGGTAACTCAGTTCCTCATCCTTGTTGAGTGCCCTGTGGTACTGACTGGAAACCAAGGTACCCTGCCAGCTGCATGAGGAACACTCACCACTGAGCATTTCCAGGTTCTTCCTTGACTGTCAGTCAGGAGAAGCAATTCTCCTCCATGTGTGCTATTATTTGGAAAGATAGAGTTAATTGTTGAGTTCCTGGACAAATTATCACAAAATCCAAGTTGGCCAACAGAAAAACATCAACCCCTATGGATGCAAGGAAAAAGATGTTTTGTTGATGCAAGATTTAGAGAGAATAGTCCACAAAACTGCACTTACTTCTGACAATCAAATGCAAATTCAGGGGCTTCTACAATGACTCTTGGATTTGATAATTAGCTAGAAGGATTCACGGAACTCACTGAAGGCTGTTATGCTCATGGTTGCAGTTTATTACAGCTAAAGAATATAGATTAAAATCAGCCAAGGGAAAAGGCATATAGGACATAGTCCTGGAAATTACAAAATATGGAGCTTCTAGTTGTCCTCTCCCCATGGAATTATGAATAGTGTTACTTTCCCAGCATCAATGTGTAACAATATGCACAGAGCATTTCCAAACAAAGGAGTTCATCCAAGCCTTGGTGTCTAGAGATTTTATTGGGACTCTCTTACACAGGCATGACTGACTGCCCACATGGCTGATTTCAGTCTCCAGCCCTTCCAGAGGCCCAGCAGATATTGCATAACCAAAACTCCTACCCTAAATCACATTGTTATTATCCAGTTGGCCCAAAGCCTGCATGTGACAGAGATACATCTATCAGATAGGATATCCCAATGATTTAGAGAGATTACCTCCCATGAGACAAGGGCAAAGGCAGACTTTCTTTGGGCAAGGTTAAATATTCTTTACCATTAAGCTGGACAGTTGGTTTTGCCTGAGGATGTTCTCCTGTTGTAACTTTATGATAAGGAAATCTATAGCATGGTTATGTATGAGATGAGCATTTGTCAAGCATTTGTTTTGTTCTGGTTCTTCTCTGAAATGCGTTTCCCGCATTTTCTCTATTAATTCTCATTGCAGCCCTATGAGGTAGGCATTACTTTTAATGGCATTTTATGTATGAGGAACTGAGGCTTGCCTTGTCTATAGTTACAGAGCTAGTGAGTAATGAAGATGGATTATAAACAAGGGTTGAGTCCAGAGTCCATGTTCATAGGCACACTGTCTCTCTTCCATTTGAAATAGATGTCCACAGACAAGTGCATAGCCAAAGAAGGCAAGATTGTTGAGTGAAAATTGTCTAGTCCTGCTGTCCTGTTCCATGGTACACGTAGCCTCAGAATGTTGCAACATACAACTCTTCTCACTTAAAAATAAATATAAGGCAGAACAACATGAAGACTTACCATGAGCTCATGGTGTCTTGATCAAAGAAGGCTTAGTGACAACAATATTTCAAATGATCTCTTTGTCTGGCATCCTCGAAGTCTGTATACCCTGGAACACCAAACAATAATGAGGTTCTGAATTTGTGAAAGGCATGCCTTTCTTTATAAACAGGATAAGGGCGATTCTGAAACGGGAGGTAAGAAAGAAGACCTGCTTGGGTCTTCAAACACAAACGCCTTCTCAGAAAGAAAAAGTTAGAACAGAAAACACAGAGTATGTTCAGAGTCTGAAAATTGTCCCCTTAAAGCTCTCCATGTGAACATGTTCCCCGGGACCCTTCATGTACCCCAGGATACTTAGTTTGGTAACAACTAGTCTGAATGATCCAATTTCTTAAACCAACTTCTTAAATTTTAGAAAAGCTGCCATGAACCAATGTCCGATAATCATTAATAAATAAACTGGGATGGGGTGGAAGATATGGAGAATTTAATCTGAAGTCCAAGTGAAGAAGAGAGAGAGAGAGAGAGGAATTTTAATGTTTATAATGAATGATGACTGGTAAGATGTGAACCTAGTGGTGCTGTGAGAAACAGGCCCCCCACCAACCTTGGGCAGGGAAAGTGATGCGGTCTAACCTCAGGTAGCACCATGGAGGAGTGGCTTAGCTCACAACCCTTCTGAGGATGGCAGGTCAACATCCTGACTGCCGCTAGGGGTATCCAAAACATGATGCTGGTAATCGTAAAAGAAAATGACAAGGCTACAAAACAGACTTCAGTCAGTAAGCAGCTTGAGCTGGTCCTAATCACCAAAAGGTGTACTTTGTTTGTTTGTTTGTTTGTTTGTTGAGATGGAGTCTCATGCTGTCACCTAGGCTGGAGTGTAGTGACACGATCTCAGCTCACTGCAACCTCGCCTCCCTAGTTCAAGTGATTCTCCTGCCTCAGCCTCTCGAGTAGCTGGGATCACAGGTATGCACCACCACACCCGGCTAGTTCTTGTATTGCTGATAGAGACAGGGTTTTGCCATGTGGGCCAGTCTGGTCTCGAACCTCTGACCTCAAGTGATCCACCCACCTGGGCCTCCTAAAGTGCTGGGATTACAGATGTGAGCCACCATGTCCAGTACCAAAAGGTGTTCTTAATGGGAAAATGTTTGTGAGTTCCCTTTCTTCTCCCTAGGTCTGAGAAAGAAATTCTCGAAAGAAGTAACAAGAGAGCTCAAGCTCCTTTCAGAAAGCCAACTGGTGAGCATGAGCCAAGGAATTACCATTTGGATCTGGAGTTGCTTTTATGACCATATTGTCCTCCCCCTCCTCAGATGGGTGACCGTGGAAACATCAGTTACAATTGTGATTTTATGGAAATATTAAAAATGGGTGTTTTCCCATTTTACTATCTTTAAATTTTGTAAATGGGTAATTTGAAAATTTCACATGTAAAACTACCTCACACAGATAATTTTACCATACTTTGAAAACAAAAAATATTTTTAAAAACTTAACCAAAACACTGTCAGTGCCTCATCGTCCCTGCAACTCTTAAATTACCCCAATATATTATTCTGAGTGGAGCTAAAAAAGGCATTAAAGTCACATCATTGTAACGAGTTGAAAAGTGAAAACTTTAACCAGTTACATCATCCTTATAAAAACAAACAAAAATATTGTGGGTTGGAGATGCATTTCCTTTTTTTGGTGTTCGTTTATCCTACCAGACAGAAGTCACTTGACATTTGGTTTTGCATAGCTGTTGTCTGTGCCACTTAATATAGTGCAGTGCCTCAAATTTGGGGGTTTGTATGGTCCAGAAGAAGCAGGTACACTCTCTCCTGGCACTGATGTATGAGATATTAATAACGTTTTAAACTTTTAGTTTAGAAGAGAAAATGTTCTCTCCATTTCCAGAATGGGAAGCTCTCATATCACAGGGAACAGCAGTACCAGCAGGTACAGCTCAGATAAGGTGCAAAATAAAACCAAAAAGAGAGGGGATTCCCAGCATTTTCTTCAAAGGGAGGAGTATGTGTTCAGCTTCCTTTTTATTGGCACTTACAATTACCACTGGACCAAAGCATGTCTATATGTTAACAGACGGAGGGGTAAGTCTGGGTAAAGTGAGAGCCTAGGCTTTGAGGTAATGGATAAAGGCATTTGGGGAAGAGGAGGATGAGAGACTGTTTCAGTTTTTAGATGAAATGAAAAAAGAATCTGCCTTTGTTTCCAACTCCCTGGCCTCCTTTTGCCGTGACCTGGCATAAATAGAAGATTGAAAAATAAATAAATAAATAAATAAAGGCAAGATGGTTTTGTTTCTGCAAATGCCTTGAACAAAGCACATGTTTCTGTTTAATACTGGATAAGCTCCAACTGATGTCTACATCCTTGTCAAAATGTTTACTTTACTGTGAGATATATTTTTTTTAAGTGGGGTATTATGAAGCCATGCTACAGCTCTGGACTTTAAAGTGACTGCCAGTCTCCTTTGAAAAGCCATTGTTTTACCCTCTTCCCTAATCCCTTGCAAATTAAATCTTTATTTTAAAAACATTATTTTATGTCTGAAAGTGATCAATCCCGGTACAAAACCAGTAGAAAACTTGATGAAGAATTGATGGAAATTCACCAAGGCAACTACTAAGATGACAAACACTGAAAAACGATTTTTTTTCCCCCATTGGGATATTTTGCACAATATCCTGATATCATGTGAATAGCAAAAACAAAAAATAACCTGGTGTACTTTAAATTCTGAACTACTGATTCAGTAGTTCACAAAACCACTATAGAAGGAAGCTTAAAAATAGAAAATGTTACTTTATATCTCCTTGGTTATTTTATTAAACTCTGTAGACCTGAATAAGGTAAAATACATATGCCATGAATTATAAATATGTCAACATAATAAATGAACCTGAACAGTTTTATCTTACATCTTTACTAGAAAATTTAACCACATAAAAGCCACGTACTATGATGCAAGAGACTACAGGACAAATATAGAAGTAGAAAAATGTGTCTGGAGATAACAGCTATTTTAACTAAAAGATAAAAGAATTTTGTAAAAATAAACTAAAATTAAAGCCTTTGATATTCACTATAAAAAGGATTTGATTTCTCCCTTTTCCATTTTTATAATCCTTTAGATTATTTTTGTCCACCTTCTGGGTAAAATATTCACTTACCCATTTTCCAATGGAGTTCTGGGTCCTGTTTCTTCCGCTAGCATTTTCTGACTTCAGGTTCGTCAGCTCTTGTTTGCTGCTCAACAAGTCACCTGAAACGTAGTGGCTTAGAACAGCAATTGTGATTCTGCAGGCGTATGGCGGGTTCTAGCCACTTTGCTGGCTTCCTCGGGTGGATGGTCTCACACGATCTCATCCAAATTCTGAGGCCCCGGCTGGGCTTCCGCAAGGCCAGCACAGGCTCGTCCGCTTGTGGCGGAATGATTCGCAGCAGAAAGAAAAGGCATGCGCAATGCACAAGCACTTGTCGAGCCTCTGTTTGCACCTCATTTGCTATTATCCCATTGGCCAGAAACAATCATACGACTAAGCTCAACGGTGGTGCGGATTCAGGGAAAGACTGCTTAAAGGGAATAGATATAGACAGTGGGAAGTGAAAACAATGTTAGGGGTATTATCCTAATGATCCACCGCTGGAGGCTAATCAATTAACCCAAGACTGAATTTCTTTTTCTTTTTTTTTCTTTTTTTTTTTTTTTTGAGATGGAGTTTCGTTCTTGTTGCGCAGGCTGGAGTGCAATGGTGTGATCTCGGTTTACTACAATCTCTGTCCCCCTGGTTCAAGAGATTCCCCTGCCTCAACCTCCGGAGGAGCTGGGATTACAGGCACCCGCCACCATGCCCGGCTAATTTTTGTCCTTTTAGTAGAGATGGGGTTTCACCATGTTGGCCAGGCAGCCGATCTCGACCTCCAGACCTCAGGTGATCCACCCACCTCACCCTCCCAAAGTGCTGGGATTACAGGCGTGAGCTACCGTGCCCAGTCAAGACTCAATTTCTTAATCTCTAAATATGAAACAATAATTTATTTGTATTGCTAAAAAAAATTGTTTGGAGAATTAAACAAGAATATAAATGGAAACTTTTGAAAAATGTAGAGAACTCTATAATTTTACAAAGTTATTAGTTGGACAGAAAAATCTAACCACGTTATTCTATATGGCTTTTTTTTCCTCTAGGCATGGTTTTAAGTTTTTACGTAATATCTACCAACCAACTGGAAACAAACTGACCTCAACAATTTAACATTTTTTATGTATTGTAAAGGCCAAATCATACTTTTTTTACCTGAATTTTTAATGTTTCAGTCAGTCATTTGAGTCATATTCATCAACTTAGCAGTAAAACCTGATATTGTCTAATTGAACCTTTATAGAACCAAGACTTTGTCTACACAATGTTACAGTATCTGGGCAATTTAACAAAGCTGTTTTTTCTGAGGCAGCTGGATGTTTCATCTAACACTGAAGATTTTGAATCTCTACTGACCAACTGAACGGTGTTTTATTTTATTTTTATGAGATGGTGCAACTGCCTGCCTTATAATAGCCTTGCTAATTCTAGAATATGCCCTGAGATTAAGATGTCTTTTGCTGAGAAAAGTGACTTTTTCCTGCCACACCCAATGTATCTCCTTCACATTAAATTTTCTCTTGCAAAATAAATGAGTTCTACTTATAAGAAACCGAGGAGAATAAAGATTTAAAACAACATGTTGAGTTACAGTTGCCATGGGAACGTTTATTCTTTCTTTCTATTTTAATCTTTGGGGCATGTGAAATGAGAGCTTACTGGTGTAGTATAGTGGTATTCTATTATCACAGTTACCTGAAATTAACAAAGAGGAGCCTGAACAATCAATGTTTGATTAGTTGCAACAAGAGTTTGGAACTCACAATCATCTTCATAATTTGGTTCCAAAGTTCAAGGGAGCAATAAGGATTTTAGCTTGGTTTTCATATTTTGGGTTAAAAAAACACTTTTAAAAATTGTACTTAGCAAAATGCAACCAAATTTTAATTCTTTATTATCCACTGTCCTCAGGAAATAGAAGTTTTAGAGCAAAATTTGTACCCCTGGTCTTTAATATTCTGCACATCTGTAAAACATACATGTATATTAGAGGTATACATCTCTGGCAACTATTCATTAAGGGGCAAAGAGTTATCACCTTATCAACAACAATTTATCCAGTGCATAGAACTCATTTATCCCTCAATTTTCTAATCCTTCTTACTCTCCTTTCTTTTTTTTCTCCGTTTCCTTCTTTATATACTTCTACTTTTTAATCTTTTCTTTCCATTTGATTTCTCAATTGTAACATTGGCAGTCACAGGATTTCTTAGCAAATTTGGTACAATTATTGCAAATTTGATTATGTTCTATGATGAATACTTTCAGATAGAAATTAGAATTACTAAAGGAAACATCGAAAATGGTGGAAAAAAATAAAATAAAAAATCTTGCATTTATCTTAAGGTAATATAGCTCTTTAATTACAACTTTCTATCTTGGTTGAAAGTTTTAGCTATGTATTTGCTAGGCCTCACTCATGGATATGATGCTTAATATTTAAGAAATATAAGCACTCTTATGTTAGATATTTGTAAAATAACTTTAGTACATATGAATTATAATGAAGGGTAGTTACAGCAGAAGGATTAACATCATCACAATTCTTTAATTTGTTGATGTTAACAGCATTTAATAGACTGTGTTTAAATTGAATCACTATAAAATTTAAAGTTCTGGCAACAATCAAATTTGAAGGGGAAAAAAAGATTTACTTATGTCCAACATAACTTTTGGCTTAAGTATAGTTCTTGGCATTCTAATTCTTTGAAAATGAACAATACTATCATTAATCAATAATTCATTCACAGCTATGGCATAAACTGAGGAGTATAATTTTTCTGATTTAATTTTTTGATCCCACACAGTAAAATTAGATTACACCAATTGTGTAGTCAAAGGCAATGGTCATTACATTTTTAAAAAACCTAATACAGTCTGCCCCTAATCCAAATGCTCAGCTCCATCTTCCATAACCAACCACTTCTAAGCAACCCATTTATGAGCCACAAGGAACTTGGGCTCCATTCTCAGACCTGCCATGGTGCCCCTGCTCTGGGCATGGCTGTAGAAAACCCTGCTCTGGCCATCTTCCCTGGGATCAAGAAGACATTCCCCCACAGATCCCAGGTCTTCACCCTTCTAGACTCAGAACTCTGAAACCCTGAAGCCCTAGAATTCCCTTCCTCAAGTATCCTAAGCCCTCTTCAAGGCCAGAGTGAAGCTTATCCCTGGAGCAGACGGACAGTGAGGTGTTCATCCCCAGGCTCGTTGTGTCCACTCTGTGTCCACAGAGACAAAGCTGTGAGAAAGAGGAAGGTGCTGGACACAGTCAGGGCCTCCATGAAGTGCTTTTTCTCAGCCTCCACATAGATTATGGAATGAATCTGTGTATCACTTTCCCAAACCCACAGTGCTCTTCCGAGTTTAAATGTCTTTGCACCTGCTTTTCTCCTGAAATTCCATTCCCCCTCACTCCTGGTGATGTCCTCCAGATCTAATTCCACTTCGTTTTCAAAAATCCCCATGCGTTCTCTAGACAGATTAGCTGTTCTCTCCTTTGGTTTACTAGCATGTTTTACCATCATTTACTATAGAACTTAACATACCTGACTATAATTATTTGTTTACCCATTTGCCTCCTCATGAGAAATTTGAGGGCAGCAAGACTTAACTTCAACTAGTGACCCTTCATTAATGTTTAATAAATGTGTATTGAATTAAATGCACTAAATGCATCATTTATTTATAAATTGGTTATCAAGCTCATTTGACATGCTAAAATTCTTTAGGTTAGGTCTTAGGTTAATATCATGTTTTTATTAACATAAAGGAATAGAATCATAAATTCAAAATCAGTTTAAAATATTTTCCAAATGTGACTAATTCCAAACATTCCATCTATAAGACAGATATTTGACATATAATGTAATCCTTGATAAAAACTGATGGTTATATGTTGTATGGCTTTAAATGGAGAGGGATGTCCACAACTAAAAACATGACCAAGAAAATGTGTCATATTTATACATTAGATGCATCCATTAAATCAGACATTACATGAAGCCAAAACTCTAGCCAGTCTTATCCTAGAGTAATTCAAATCAATACATTTATTGTAGCTTGCTCCTTTACAATGCAGAGAAATGGGAAAGAAAATCAAAGGAATTTTATGATACTTGTTATTTAAAACACCTAACTGTATACCTAAATTATGCAGCATAACAGAAAAAAATGTTTAAAAAAATAATGCAATGTAAATGTTAAAAAAAAAAAAAAAGCCTCCATTTGTTGCTCAAAATTTTAACAAATACACAATAGCTTGAATTTTGTAATTTTTAATAGGTGCTAAGCACTCTTCCGGGCAGTTTACATGTGGTAAATTGTTTAATCCCCACAGAATATTGTTGGTGGAAACCGAGAATCAGAATAGTTAAGAACCTTGACCAAGGTCACACAGTTAGCCTGGGAGTAGAACTATGGCATTCTGGGAGGTAGAAATATCAAAAGCTGGAAGTCACTGAAATATATATGATAACTGGGGTCATGGGGGGAAATTATGGGTGGAGAGCACCTGGTCAGTTAGAAGAGAAAAGAATGAATCCCAGGGAGATCAGCAGCATTGAAGGGACTGGACAAACAGAGGTGCCCATGCAGGGAATGGAGCAGGTAACACCAAAGAAGTTGAAGAAGAAACAAGAGAAGAACTGATGTTCCTGAAACCAAAAGAGGGAAGGATTTCATTAGGGCAGCTCAATAGTGTCTATCAGACCTTATAAACACACCATACAAGTTGGCACAGAGAGGTTCCTATTTGTATTTAGAAAGTCTTTGTCAGACAGTTTAGATGCAAATGAAAGCCTGATTTGGTGAGCTGGTGAATGAATGGAAGGTGATTATGTAGGAGTCAGAGAAAGATGAGTCTTTTAGAGGGTGTTGAAAAGAAAGAGACACAAGGGGGAAGCTTGGGAGATAGGCAAGGTTCCAATGTTGTTCCAACTTCTTAAAAAAGGAAAATGGTCAGATAAAGCAATTTTAAATAAGGCAGTTTTGTCAAGCCACTGGCTTCCTACATTTTCATACAGCAGAACCTAGGTTGCTGGAGATCCTTGTTACTCAATGTTTGGTCAGCAGCATCAGCATCTCCTGTGGGCCAGTAAAAAAAATATAGAAACTCAAACCCCACTCCACCCAGAATCTGTGTTTTAACAGAAACTCTTGGTGACTCAAATGCATTTTAAAGTTTAAAAAGTACTGATCTAAATTCCACTAGAGATAACCCAAAGGAAAAACTTATCTACTAAAATGTAGTTTGAAGTTGTTTTAATTTGCTTTGTAGACACACCAAAGACATATCTAGTTTATTTGTAA